AGGAACATTATCTAAATCGAGTCAATTCGACTGAATGAAACAAAAGAAACAAACCGTCTCGAATCGCACTGAAACTGAATTTATCGAGCGTTTTTGGAATACTTGGCCAGAAGCATTTGTGTTTGCCACTATTTGTGTTTGTGTTAGTTCTTCTTTTTTTGTTCTGTTTTTCGACTGGCGACCCGTTTTGCATTCACTATTTAGTCGTACGTACGTAGTGATAAAGATAATTTATTTAAATGTAATGCTCCTTCGACTCGACTGATAGTGTGCTTCGTTTGTATATGTTAAGTACACAGGACCTCTGATCAATGCTAACTGAATGTCCTTCTTCTTGTGCCCCATTCAATGTTCATCTTAAATTATTGTACGAGCATTGGTTCGTTGAGGAGTGAGCAAACGAGTCAAGCGGCTCCGGTTCCGATAATTTCATACGCAAATAAAATATGGCCGTTTTTATTTTAACCACGCATAATAATTTGCGACTCATTGAAAATAAACGAAACGTAATCGAAATGAAAACAATGCTTTTTGTCTGCCCATTTCCAATTTCTTGTGTGTTTTTATTATGTGCATAATCGTATGGCTGCAATATGCCGCTTTTAGCACCAATCACCATCAATCGAATATCCCCCCGCGTATACGATTAAATGCTATTGCACACCAAAGTCATAGTCGTAGTAGCAGCAGCAGGAGAAAAAAAAATACACACAAAAACAAAAAGAAAAAACAAAAGCATTTGGTGTCGATGACACAAGAGATCGACTCTTTGCCATTCGGTTACGCTTGATCACCGCTCCCTCGCACTATTTCATCCACTATATTATTTCATTTGAACATTCAACTTTGATTCGATTTATTGGCTTTAATTTATTTTCCACGCTCATTTTTTTCTTTCTCGAATTTTATGAACTTTTTGGATATATATATATATATATATATATATATATATATATATATATTGGTACGTTTGTTCGTATCGTATAAATTGCATCTAAAGGCGAGAGCCGGTCAGAGCAAAGATTTCTCTGTGTGTGCGTTGTTTCACGCGCGCATTGGGGAATGCGTATGCGTTGTTTTAATTTGAAATGTTTATGAATCTATATAAATTAGCAGAATTGTTTACTTATGTTCTATCGTTCGTTTCCCACATTTTTCGGTCTCAATCGGTTTGGGATTAGCTTGTGTGCGGTCGTTTGAATCTAGAACCTCGCACGGCCTCATTGCTTGGCCGGTTCGCGCACAGTCAATTGTTAGTATATATACACACAATCTCTCTCTCTCTCTCTTTCTGTATGTAATTAACATTCTAGCGAGTAATATTCATCAGCGCGTCCTTAAAACACAATATCTGCAGTGAATAAACCGTGTTTGTTTATCATTAGATGGCTGTTTCGTGCCGCTTACGTATAAATTTTAAAACAATCATTTCGAAACTGAACAGAAAAAACTGAATTTCTTTTCTCTCGTTTCTTTTTTCCTCTCGAACACGATGGCATCGTGAAAATTTTGACGTATGCAGAAAAAGCATAGCCAGCTGAATATAAAATTCTCTCACTTTCATTCTCAAATAGAAGCTCGAATGAGAGACAAAGAGAGAGATTGAGTGAAACATAGCATACACAACATTTTCTCAAATGCTAACAATTCTGAGTTGGCTCTTTTTTTCTTCATACACACCGAATATTTTTAATTAATACGTAGCAAAACACTGAATTATTTACCGGTACACGATAATAATTTTCACCAACTTGCACACACTGTGAAATATCAACGGTTGCAGACAGTGAACCGTGGTGGTGATGGTAATCAAATAGAGTGCGAAATGAAAGAAATAAACCACGAAAGACAAATAGAATCTCAAACCGTCCAATTACATTTTCCAAGGTGGATTCTGGAAGTGAGTGAGGCAAAGAGAGTGAGAGAGAGAGAGTGAGCAGAAGAAAAAAATTGAGGTACTTTTTGAAGCACAACACAACTTAACAAAACAGCATCGCACGCATGAATGTTTCCACTCTGTGGTGGTTGGTGAACACATGAAGAACCTCTGCATTGAATGGGTGCACAGTGCGCAAAATAATGTTTAAATATTTAACTAAAACATTTTTCTAGTGTATGGAACTGTGAATTTTTAATCACAACCGCCATTTAATCAATTTCAGATTTATGTTCCTGCCCCGTTTATGAGGCCATTCACCACACACACACCGCGAGTATACCGCAATTTTTGCCTGTCCACAAGGCATCGCTCGATCTCAAACCCAGAGAACACACCGATTTGCTTTGATGAGTATTCTTTTCCGGTTTGGATTTCAACATTCCGTTTTCTTGTCTTATTTTTTCTCTCCTCTGGTCCTGTGTTATGTCAAGCCCAAAAACCGAAAGAGTGCACAGACACTCAGTCACATTCTAATGACGACGATGAACGTGTATGACGGAAACTGCGATGAATGAAGGGTGTAAGGAAAGGCAAATTCTATTTTCAACAAATTGACTTTATGATGATTACATTGTTTCCGAGTAGAAATTTGTGTCGCTCACTCGTTGCACCAGCATCATGATTTCCATCTTTGTCATGCATATTTTTACATACACACACAGACACACACACACACACACACACACACACACATGATATTCTAGTTGCCAGTCAATGGATGTCTTCGTTTCATCCGTGCAAATAAAGGTAAGGAGTAAAATTTTGAGAAGAGAGAGCGAGAGCGAGAGAGAGCGAGAGAAAGAGAAATCTACTTAAAATGATTGCATATGGGATGTGTCGCCTCAATACACTCATTTGACATTACGAGCTATGTTCACGCTATGCGTCTATAGATAGCAGTACATACTTTTCACTCAGCGCCGTAATCTATGGTGGTTTGAATAAAAAAACATTATTTTTTTTGTGTATTTCAAATGTTTATAAAAATTGAAAGGGAGATAGCAGTGTTTCCTTCTCCTTTCTGGTGAAGAGCGTACGAATCTCATCTAAATCGTAGCCCTCTTTTGCTGCCTAGATGCTAAGCAAATATTTAATAGCATGCCATATATCTGACCGTTCATAATGCATAATAAATGTCCAATTAAACTCTTTTATTGGCTTGGATTCGCAAATGAAGGAGCTACAGTGTTCAATTCACGTGAGCGTTGAAAGGCAACTTTTATACTTGTTTGACATTCATTCATTGCTATCTCTCTATCGCTCTCCATCCCTCTTTATTCTCAGCGTGTGTGCGCCTCTCTCTCTCTCTCTCTCTTTCTCTCTTTATCCCTATCAACCTCTCAATCAGGCTCATAAAATTCTTGATAATTTTCGAGTTGAGTGGTTTTATCGATTTTCAACACTTCCATCCATTCTACTATTTAATGAGACTACAATTGATTCAATTTGGCTAACATCATCAACGATTACATCCATTCATTAGGAATTGATTTATGAAATGTTTCATTATATCAATAAGTATTATTGCCCCTCGATGCAATGTTGAAACGCCATTGTTTCGCATCAAATGCTTAGGCATTCGCATTTCCTGATCGTTTTTCACCTTTGTGATTTTCGGACTCAAAATCAATCGGTCAGTCAGCTGTCGGTTACCTGAGTTGAATCAAATGCGCACACATGAAAACATTTTCGAAAAAAAAAAATAAATGCGAATGCGTTAACAACAAAAGCAAATAAAATGGCTTTTTTTTATCTCGCATATAAGCAGATTCGATTGCGCGTGTGAGTATGGTTCTGTTCGGGTTTCGTCAAATATTTACTTTAATTCCATTGAAGAAATTCCGTATTCTCATTGCTCCATAAAGGTATTAAAATTCAACATTTATACACAACGATGGCCGAATGCATACACAGTTCGAGGTGATTCCCATCTCACTCGTTCGCATGTTTGGGCCGAACATCGAATTCGTGTACCGAACCAAAACTCTAACAGCAATAACAATAATAATAATAATGACAAATAGAATAAGTAAATAGAATCTACGGATATTTTAGTCGTATCAATGGTTTTCAGATGGAGATCAAACATATTATTATAATAGGTTTAATGGTTATAATAGTATTGTTAAATAATGGTAGAAAAACACATGGGCCGGGGCAGGAAAAAAAAACAAAACCGAAGAGAAAAGTCGACGAGAGGAAAAATATTTCTCTCTGCTATGAAACTATTTATACAGTGCGTTTCGATGGGTGTTTCGAATGGTTCAGTTCAATGCATGGGAAGACGAAAAAAAATGGGTAAATATATGGTGATATTGGCAGTTGACACAGTCAAATGTCTGATTGAGTAAACAGCACAAAACAAAAAACTCAGAGCCGAACGAAAAAAGGGTTTGGATTTTCTTCAATGACACCATTTAATGAGATTCAGGTCATTTTTTTATTGCATTTTTAATCGTCTATGCATTCCGATGACAATGAGATGCATGGCCGGAAAAAAAGAGACATGCATATCACATGAGTTATGAACAAACAAAAAATGGGCCCACAAAATATTGACATAACGAAACGCCCAATTTAATTCCATCTTATCGATGTACCATGACACCGGACACAAATCATAGTTTAATTTACTTAGGCTAGGATTGAAAAATCTCTGAATAAAATATTATTATTGTAATTTACAACGGAAAATAAAATGTCATTCGAAAGGAAGTCGTTAAAAAACGATTCAAACATTTTCTTCTACACTGCAATTGGATCCGCTATCAGCAGTGCCATTCGTATTGTAAATCGACATCCAAACGCATAATAAAATTAATTAACTAATTGCCAATTAGGTATGCTGACATTTGCACGTCTTGTTCGCTCCAGTATCGTCGTGTTTTTTTTTCCTTTTCGAAAAAAAAAAAAATTAAGTGCACATTGTGCAAACATAAAAAAAAGGAACGACTTTGGGAACAGTAGCGAAACAAACAGAAAAAAAAACGTACGAAAACAAACAAACAAAAAATGAAGAAAAACGAACTAATCGCAATAAACATATCCATTTTGTACTTACCACCAACTGGCATATGCGAATCCCATGCAAACGGCTATTAGCAAAGTGAATGTCATCAGCGGTGGAACGTGATTATTTCTTTTCGAACCAATCATGGTAAATTATGTGTTGTATAATTTTGTATGTCACAATACCGACCGGCTCGGTTCGGCTCTTTCTCTTTCTCTCTCCCTCACTTTCGAGATGTCTGTGTATTTGTATCGTATCGTATCGCGCACGGCTAAGAATCAACTGTTGATTTTCAATTTTCCTCTCTGTTTTTTTTTGTTTTGTTTTGTTTTTGATTCGGTTTTCCTTCGATTTTCTTTTCCGTTCTATTTTATTTCATTGTTTTCTTTCCGTTCCGTTCTTTTTTTTTGCTTTCAAATTTGCTTTCGTTCTCTTTCGTTTACGCGGATGTCATCCGTTTTTCTTCCTTTATAAATTTTCAAGAAAAACCGTATCAATAAATTGTTGAATGTATGAAATGCAATCACGGCAAACGAAATATTTTCTCAGTTATGACTCTGTGTTCTTTAGTCTGCTTATGCAATTAGTCTCTGTCTATGTGCATGTGTGTGATTGAATGTACGTCGTTTTTGTTAATATTATTAATTTTTTATGCCTTTTATTGTAGAAATGTGCACAAGAAAACTATATGAAGAATCTCGACAAGAATCATATCAAATAGTCGCAACTGAAATTGTGCTTTTTTTTACGTGAATGTATGATCGCGTGCGTACACCAAAATATGTTGCATCGCGCGCGCTCATTTGTTCGCTTCAGCTCTTTTCTCGTTGTTGGGTTTTTTTTTGTTTTCCTTTGCGGATTTGTTATGCATACGTTGTTTGGCTGTCGTCACTTCGCACGTTTTGCGCGTCTATTTTCCGAATCGAAAGTGTTAGGAATTTTATTTGTTCCCTCTTGTGCTCTCACTCTCTGCTATTCTTCACCGCCGTCTATTACACGCAGAACGCGCTCGCGCCGTTTCGATTGTTTTTTTTTTCGTGTTATTTATGCGTGAAATGCAGTTGTGACTGAATTTTTCGATTTGATTTTTTTGCTATGTGATCGTTGCTACCGTTTGATGCATTCGGGTATCAACTATTAATATCAATGCTGGAAGGAATCGTGTGCGAGTGTGTTTGTGCACGTTTTTGTTGAGCGAGGCCTTTTTGCCTTTTCATTCGTGTGATCTTTAATAATCTGGATATTTATGCGGATAATTTATTGGTGTGATTAAAGAAGTGTACAAGACGGTGCTTTTTACCCTTTTTTACATTGAACAATTACATCGGTTTCTCTTGCCGGCGAGAGAGTGTTTGACTTCTTTTTCTTGTTCAAAAACAAATAGCCGAGAGTTCACTGGGGAACGGAATGAACGTATCGGTTATTGATCTGAATTAAAAAAGCGATTAGTACTAATAATTCCTTCGTCTTTTTCAAACACGTTTTTTTTTTGTATTTTGTTCGCCAAGGCAAGCTAAGCTAGCTCAAGCCAACCACACCAACCGCGAGACCAATTACTAATCACACCATTTTATTTTATTTCATTGAACATAATTGACGTTTCTTTTCCTCTAATTATATTATTTTTTCTTCAATTTGTGCCAATAATAATTTTCTTCTAGCTTGATTTTGCGCGTTTATTCCATCGATTTGAATAGAAACGGTTTTTTCCAGGCGTTTAAAATCCGTTCAAGTTTATGCTAACGGATTCCGATGGTTCGGTTTTTTTTCAGGATCTCTCTTCAGCGGTTTCGTTTAGATTTGACCTGACTTTGATGAAGATCCTAAAAAACTTGAATCGGATGTCATTGTATCGTTTAAGCGCATGTGATGTGTGTAGCAAATGCATATATGCTTCAGTGCATATTCCAAAACTAAACATTCAATGAAAACGCTCATTTCGTGCAACCACAGAGATCAAGGAAATGTTGCAACGTTTTGTAAAAGATCAAAGGAGGCTTTGCATCCAAGGCATCATACTAAGTATAATCATTTAACAGCTGAACAAAGCCAATTGCTCTTTTTCTACAATTTCTTCTTTAATTTTTGTTTTGTTTTATCTCAAATGTTTTTCGCATGCGAATGACTGAAGCGTGGCAAGGAGTGTATTTGAGTCTCTCTTGATTTGCCGACACTTTGTTTGTTGTTGGTTTTTTTCTTCTTTGTTTCGTGTTGCAATTAAATGATCGTGATTTCTAATGAACTTTAATTATATGGCCGGAGAACCGATGGTAATTGGTCAAAGAAAATAATAATAAAGTAATTGAGCGATCCACACACACACACACACACACACACACACATACGCATACACGTAGATCGAGCTTATCAATCATTTCTCGTGCAATGGATCAAGATTTGTCATTTTTTGTATCACTGATGATTTGTGTGACTCTCGCTTTGTTTGCGTATTATTTTTTTTCTGCCTGACCACAATATAATTTACGCGGTGCACGTCAGAAATGCACTTGAAAAAAGAAAGTCTTTGTATGAATTACAGAAATAGAAATTCACAAAAATACATTCGAAGGAAGCAGAAACGTAAGAAAAAGCAAATGAAGCTGCAGCGATTAGAGTTGCCACAATTCAAACTCATCATTTGCGTTCAATATGCATAAATCGTATGGAATCTGCGTGCACGAGATTGTGTCTGTGTGTGTGTGTGTGTGCGATGTTCTGTCGCTTGGGTCTCCGATATGTATTTGGTATTTGGTGCAACTTTGATGCAACGAGTGACAGAAACAGGCGCTCTCGCTAACTTACTCATTCACGCAAAATACACAAGACCAAACGAATTCAAGATACAAAAGACTACGTCTCGCTTTGAACTCACAAGACTCTGACTCTCTTTTCGTTCTTTTTGTTTTTGACGAAGTGGAAAAGAAGATCAACATCTGGTTGAAATGTATAAATTACTTGAACATGAACGGTTTTGTGGCCGCACCACAAAATGATCAATAAATGCAAAGTAAAAAACTTACTGCAACACGATAAATAAGTAGAATTAGAATTGCTGTAGCACTACATCACCAACATAAGCAACATAAGCAACAACAACAACAACAACGGCAGCGGCAGCAACAAGAAATAGGCATTCTATCAAAGAAATGCGAATCATTTGAACAAATCTCCGTGTTGCGTCCCATTCCATTCAGTTCAGTTCGGTTCAGTTCTATTCTGCCACACTTCACTTCTTCTAAGAATAATCAGGCAATATATCACAGATGCCGGCCGTTCCGCTCTGGCATACATTCACTATATATTTTATATTTCAATAAAAAGCAACAACAAAAACAACACCTTCAACGCGGCGCGCTGCATCGCGCCAACAAAATCAGCCGCAGCCCGAAAACATGACAAATTGTACATAAAAACATAAAGGGGCATGCATCCATTATCAATGTTGGCTTGAAACTGAAATCGCATTTTATGGCCAAAATCACGGAAAATCCACTTCCTTTCGCATCGTTTTCTCTGTCGTGCGTTCTTCTTTTCTACTTTTCGTATTTCGCTGTTGTTGCTGATGTTGTTTCGGTTTATCCGGTAAGTGTCTTAATTGCCTCAAAACAATTTCAGGCGAAACATCAAGATATGGACCAGAGAGAGCGAGAGAGAGAGAGTGAGCGCGCGGTGCGAAGCATTGAACGAATTTCACGTTGGAAATAAAAATCATTCGAATATTCCGGCAAAGGAATTTTAATGGAAGAAACTCGAGATTGAATTGTCGAGCTCTTGCGATTTTGGAAAAGTTTAAAGATCACGTAGGTGATAGTCCACAAATTGATTTATGTGCATTTTTTTTATATTCGTTTGTTGCTGTTTGCTGTTAAAGAAGTTGTATAATAGTCAATTTATAGAAGATCGTTCGTTCATTTCGTTTAAAATTAATCTGCATTGAATTTAGTTTTAAGTGGGACAATGACGACTAATTGTTGTCGTCTTTCATTTAGCCCAATGCACTCTTTATATGTATATTTTAATCCACATCTTGCATGTTAAAAATGTCGATAAGATCAACCGAAATGATTTAATTGCAAATTGACTTGACTTTGTCGCGCGGCACACAATGTTAAACCAAAATTGTCCCGCGATAGACATACAATCACCTCATCACAACGGACTCGCGCGCGCACTTCACTGTCTTTGTCTGCAAAGGAAACCAGCAAAACCGACCGATTATTCTATCAGCCGCATTTTCAGACGCGCTATGCGCCACATTTATCACTATCTAGCATGTGAATATTTGCTTACATATTTCTATAGCATTTTGTTTTGCCTACAAAAACCGATTTTATTGCATTAAAATTTTTGCATAAAACCATTTCGACGTTGCGGTTTTCTTGGATGAATGGTTGCTTCATAGAAACAACGTGTGTCAACCGTTGAATTACAGACCGTGTCATGTTTTGCGATGAAGATGCCTTGGTTACAATGTTTTTCTTTCTCTCTCTTTCTTTTATTCATTCCAACGATGACGATGAATTTTATGGAAAGAAGAATTTTCAAATTGGATTTCAATCCATGGAATTTGCACAAAGAAATAATGAAATTTGGTTTTTGATTCATTTCTGTTCTTATTTTGAAAAAAAATGGCATTGATTTCACTTGATTGCATACTGACGTTGACTCTGGAATCCTTGCTTAGATAACTTCATGATTTGCCATAATGTAAATGCTTTTGATGGAAGGAGTGTCGGCGAAAAAAATTATTTTTTTTTGTTCAATCAAAGGCGGTCTTCTAAAAATAAAGTGGAACAACGCCACAAAACCGGTCGAATTGACTGTCCATCGCATTAATTAATTATTAAATTATGTTTTTTTGTTGCAGTTTCACTCCTCAGTACTATAACGGGCAAACAGTTTGAAAGAAAAATTACCAAAACGGCAATAGCAAAACAATCAACTAAATGCGATTATACCTGTGGATCGCACAACGTACACACGCACTAAAGACTTTCCTGAAGTGAATTGGAGCCACAAGAAATTGCCGCCGCGCGATCACCAAGAGCCAGCAGCAGCACAATCAAACCAACAAAGGAAGCGAAGAGTGAAAAATAGCCAGTCAGTCAGTCACGTAAAATTCAATTTCAATTTTCTGATAATGATCTACATCGTAAGTAAATTGTTTGATAAGCAGATCAGATACGCTTCCCGTCATTTTTCCATTTACCGATGACCACGACGAAAGTTAAAAAAAAAATAAATCGGATGGCGGCTCAACTCTGGTTGGCATGTTGGAAATCATATCTTTACTTCGGTTTCGTTTAAAACTCATTTAAAAAACCATAAAATAAAGCAAATTTGACACTTGAAAGAGTCGCCGATTTCTGTTTTGGTTTCTGTTTTAATCGGAGATCTGTTTGTTTGGGTCTACGGTACCGCCACACAGGAGTAACATTTTTTTTTTGATCTCCATCAAAATATGGTCATTGTCATGGAAAAGAAATAATGCATCTGACCGAAACTCCTGAGTTTGAATTAGTTATAGTTTTCTTCGAAATGTTTATTGTCCGGTTGAAAACGAATGAAAAAATAAAATAAACAAAAACTAAAACAAATGTGAACGAAATTCGGGATTATCAAGGCAAAACGAGAACAGGAATTAAGAAGGAAATAAAATAACGCAGAATTTCAAATAAAACCACATCAATTGTAATAGCAACCGCACATAATTCAGGATTATTATAAAGAAAATATATATCAAAACAAATAGTCACTATATTTCTTTTCGCTTTTAAAGGATCAAAATAACTTCTGGCTTAAATCAAGTTGAAAAACATAAAGATTTCGATTTTATCGTTTTTTTTTCTGTTTTCAATCTAAAAAAGAATCTATTATTTTTGTTTTGTTTCCGTCACAATTTTATTGAATGTAAATTTTCTGATTTGTTTAAGAAAAAAAACGAAGGAAAATCGGTTTTCCGTTTTTAAAATGCACATATTACTTTTTCGGATAAACAAGTGTTAACTGCCTGAATGTGACTTGAATTTTCGTAAGAGACGAGCTTCAAAATAAAAATCCGAGACCACTCGCAAGCACAGCATTCGATAAACTGAATCCTCACCGAATGTTTTCGTTACCGAAAAATCAAATGTACGCGCGTTTACTGGATAACAAACGATATATCTGTGCTGCTGCGTTCATCGTCATCGCGGTCGTCGTTGTTGTTGTTGTCGTCTGTCCCACTCTGAGTCTATTTCGTTTGGCATCGAAGAGGAAGACCGCGCGCGTTCTCGTGCACACACACATGCAAACACATCCAGTATGGCTCTCCGTATCTCGATAAAATGTGCTTTTTGATTGCTCTCTCTCTTTCTCTCTCTCTCTCTCTCTCGCTCGATATACGCACTTTTCATGCATATATGTATACGATATTGGTAGAGTCAAAAAGTTGCTAACACCGAACACAACACAACACAACAAAGCAGAACGCATTCGATACTCCGTTCCATTCTAGGCGAAATGAGAGAGAGTTGGTTGGTGTTCTGTGTTCTTCACTGTTTATGCATTCGGTTCCCGGTACGACTCGTCCGTTCGTTCGTTCGTTCGTTTTGATTTGCTGGTTTAAATAGCTCGGGCTTGCAGTTTCGCATTTTTATTCATACTTGGCGGTCACGAACCAAACAAAACAACAGCCAGCAAAATATGTGTGTAGTAATGTGTTTTGGCCGTATGAAATATTTACAAAGCCACAGCCGAAGTTATTGTCAACCAGAAGACCCTTTTTGTTTCGCAATTTACGATAAAAATGTTCTCTGCACACACACACACATCGCTTCGGACCGAAAAAAGTGAACGAACGACACATTGATGGTGATTCATCTAGAAAAGTCTGTGTGCATGCACTGAAGATGATGGCAAGACAAGCGGGCGAGAGAGCACAACGGTCGAGCAGAGCATTTGCGACAGACATACAGTATTGGCGGTTATCACTCGATAGTTTGAGTGGCGGCGGCAGCGGCGTACTTCTCGCAGAAATTTGATAGGATGTCTCGAAAGTTGCGTACGAATTGATGATAGGTGCAATGTTTTGCAAAGAGAACAATTCGCAACACACACGCATACACGTACACTTCCAGCGTAATAAATAAAACAGATACGCATCGGCCCGCTCAATGTCAAACCATCGACAGACAAGCGAACACATGCCAAATCTATGAATTGTGCGTTTGAAAAGCACATATGCTAGCCATTCACTGTGCGACTTTTTAAGTGCTAGAACTTTGGTGCTGTATAACACACTCGCACTTGCATATATCAAAGTCGACGGAAAGACATTGCTATTGGCTGGATTTTCATTCGGTTGTGATTTTCACCAGCCATTGCGCTCACTTCAGACACTTCTACGAACTCATATATCGGCTTGTGAGAGAGAAAGAGAGAGAAAGAGAGCTGGAACATGAAATTGCAATATCTTTGCATGGTATTCAAAGAATGTAAAACATGCAGCATTCCGAAGAACGAAGAGAATTCAAGGAAGCGAACCGTTTTGCTAAATCCTCTCTTTTAAGTTTTTCGCCATTTTCCGATTTTTAGGTGTTGATTTGATTTGAAAGTGCACGGTGCCACAAACACCGAAACGAACGCAGAAAAAACAACGACGAAGATGGGAAAAAAAACACACACACACACACACACATACATACACGCGCGCGCGCATCGCAAATGGTCAACAGAAGGCGATCGTTAATTCGGAATGGAGTGCGTATGTGCTGCGTGTGCTAAACACAATGCATCATGTCAATACGATGGCAAAGCTTATATTAGCGGCATTCATCGTTTGATCAGCACCGTGTTATTATTTTATTTCCTTTCCTCTTTGATTTCTCTCTGGCTCTGTCTCCCCGGTTCTGGTTGCCCGTTTAGCAAAATCACGTTCTTCCATCATTTTCGCTTAAATATTTCGATATTCTTCGGCCGTTCGTTTTGTTCTCCTTTTTTTCTTTTCCTTTTCGGTTTTTACATCACCGGCGTTCGCCAAAGAAGCTCGCCTTTTTGTTGGCTATCTTAACATTTCACCGTATGAACGAACTAACGAAAAAAGATCCATATTCGAATGTGGTGCTGGTGCTCATATGACCACTATCCTTCTGCTTTCATTATTGCTGTTTCTCTTTCATTGTTTTTAATCGGCACGGAGCACACAGCAAACACACACACACCGGACACAGCACATTCGACAAAAGGTCGAACCAATGTGTGCTCATTGATGTCCAATCATTTTATGATCACTTGCAGATTTGTATCCTGTGTGTACCGAAGCCTCGGGGGGAAGCTAATGCTAGTTTGCTACCGATGCCGTGCATCAATGGATACCAAACGAAACGGAAAAAAGACGCCGAAGATATGCAGGATACTGAGTTGAGTAGAAAATGCGAACGGCAAAAAATTTACAATACAATAAAAAAAACACATGCAGATAGAGAGAGAGAGAGAGAGAGAGAGAGAGAGAGAGAGAGAGAGGGAAGGAGAAGCGGTTGAAAGATTCATCCTTTTGCTCGGAGATGCAGCATAGTAATATTTTAGAAATTTTTATTACATTTAATTGGAAGCTCTGGCGGCGTCTCTTTTTTGAAAATGCTATTGCCGGCTCAAATGAGGAAATAACACACACACACACACACACGCACACACACTACACTCACATGGCGATGGATGGAGAAATCAAAGTGAGTCGCATTAAGTGAACGCACGCGCGCATAACACAATGATTATATCAACATAAACCCCTCTATCTCTCTCTCTCTCTCTCTCTATCTCTCTCTCTCTCTCTCTCTCTCTCATGTATGGTTTGTCGATTTGTGATAATTATCTATAAATAAAAAAAAACATTTGATCACTTTGGCCTTCAATTAAGAGAATAAATAATCATCTTGCATCAAAAAAATCTGTTCTTGTTTGACGCACTATTGATAACAATAGCACATAACTGACCAACAAAATATAACGTACACCACTTATAAAAAAAAAGAGATAAAGAATAAAAAAAATGGGTCACATGAAATAAATTGATGGATATATGTGTAAAGTGCGAACTTTCTATGATTGATAAAGTAATGAAAGACGTCATGGTCGCTACAAAATTATATACAAATAAATTGAGGTAGGAAAAAAAGGCAACACGTTGAACGTAGTGACACAAGTATACAGGAAAAAAGGAAATACTTGAAAAAAAAGTGTTATCGGGTGCCGGTAATCGGCGCTCTTCAACTAATTGAATATTTTCAATTAAATAATTATTTATCTAATGATTTTTTGACACTTGAGCTTCCTATAAATTGCTGGGCAATTCATCCAACTGTATCGATACCATTAAGTGGTGCCGAACAGACAAAATGAACGTACAAATAGTCTTCTTAGTTTTAGTAACTATTTTGCCTGCATCGATTCTGTGCCAATCAGATGCCGATACATGGTACAAAGGTGGCAATTTCTATCAAATTTATCCAAGGTAAATAAATTGACCGAATTTTGATGGATTTTTTTTCGTTTCGGAGCTTGCTAATTGTGTGGTTTTGTAAAATAGATCGTTTAAGGACAATAATAATGACGGCATCGGTGATTTGAAAGGAATCACATCAAAGTTGGAATACCTCAAAGAAATCGGAATTGACGGAGTCTGGCTATCACCCATATACAAGAGTCCAATGAAAGATTTCGGATACGACATTTCGGATTTCACACAAATTCAACCAGAATATGGAACAATGAAAGATTTTGAAGCCCTTGCTGCAAAATGCAAACGACTTGGCATTCGTCTTATTCTGGACTTTGTCCCAAATCACACGTAAGAGCTTTTATTTCTTTTTATGCAAATTCTAAAGTGTTTAATAACAAAAAATTTATTACCAAAATAAATCAGATCCGATCAGCATGAATGGTTCATCAAATCAGTGAACAAAGAGCCTGGCTATGAGAATTTCTTCTATTGGCATCCCGGAAAAGTCAATGCAACAACTGGTGAACGATCACCGCCAAGCAATTGGCTCAGTAGTTTCCGCTACAGCGCATGGGAATGGAATGAGAAGCGTAAACAGTACTATTTGCATCAATTCACTATTGAACAGCCGGATTTGAACTACCGTGAACCAGCTGTGGTTGCAAAAATGAAGGAGGTTTTGGTTTATTGGCTGGACAAAGGTGTTTCTGGTTTTCGTGTGGACACAATTCCATCGTTGTTTGAAGTAGCACCCGATGAAAATGGTAATATCCCAGACGAACCACCCAGTGGTAAATGCAATGATCCAGATGACCCTTGCTACCTGAGTCACATTTACACGTACGATCAAAACGAAACCTACGGCATAGTCTATGAATGGCGAGAACTCCTCGAAGATTATCGTAAGCAACATGGAGGCGATCAACTTATTCTGATGACCGAAGCCTACAGTGAATTGCCCTATATTTTGCGGTATTATGGAGACGGAAAACTGAATGGCTCACAAATTCCATTCAATTTCCATCTTCTGCGGAATACTAACAAAACCAGCGATGTATTCGAATTCAAGAGGTTGATTGAAGAGTTTTTAGGTGGCGTACCGGCTGGTTCGGAAGCCAATTGGGTGGTAAGTAACTAGTTTACGATGAAGAACACTTTCATTGCTACGGCAATTATGATGAATGTCTTTCATTATTACAGTTGGGAAATCACGACCAAAAACGTTTGGCAAGCCGTCTTGGTGAACAAAGAGTTGATTTATTCAACATTCTACTCAAAACTCTGCCCGGCATCTCGATTACTTATCAAGTAAGACTCAAAAATCGTGAACGAATAGTTGATTTTGACGCAAACAAATGATTCTCTCCGTGTTTTACAAAGGGTGAAGAAATCGGTATGACTGACGTCATAATTTCATGGGAAGATTCAGTTGATCCACCGGCATGTAACTCGAATGAAACCACTTATTATGCGGTGTCACGTGATCCTGCCCGTACCCCATTCCAATGGGACGATTCAAGAAATGCTGGCTTCAATTGGTTCAAAAAACCATGGCTTCCAATCAGCACGAACTACAAATGTGTTAATGTGAAAACTCAACGCGCTCAACCGCGAAGCCACTTGAACAACTACAAACGTCTGATTAAACTGCGCAAAGAAGCCTCCCTCGGAAATGCTTCATATGAATCGGCTCTGTTCGGAGAAATTTATACATACAAACGGTAAAAGGCAGATCATAAGCAAAATATGCACAAAAAATACATGGTAAATGTACTAATGAATCGTTTTTATTCGACAGTCAAAGCGGTTCAGTCAAACCGATTGTAGTGGCTTTGAACTTTGGCAAAACATGGGAGACAATCAATTTATCAGCGAAATATAATTTGCCAGAAGCACTGAAGGTCGTTGTTGCATCAATTGAATCACAATATACAGAAGGGTAAGAGTTCTTTTTATCATCATTAGGTGGATTGCAGAAAAAAATAGAACAAAAAAAAACAAAAATTTCAATAATTTGATTTGAAATCTATTTCAATAGACAAATTGTGAATGGTACTCGACTGACTGTTCCCAATGACATTGGGCTGGTGCTTACAACACTTTAATTGAAGACACGCTGACCGTAATTACCGAAGTATTCTAATCGGAGTCAATTCAATAAAGATAACATTTACTACACTTTCAGTATATTGCAGTGCAATTGAAGTTTTTTTTTTCAATTAAATTTATTGTATCTTCCATTCTGAAGAGTCTTCAATGAAGAATTTTCATATCGATCTCTTTATTTACATTTTTATCTTTATTCGTTGAATTGAATACGTACGTCGAAAGGGGTCTTCATTCTTTCTCCTTCATTATATAAGGATAAGGCCACTTAAAAATGTAATTGAGATTAATTTATGTTTTACTGTTAAAAGTTGAAAAATGAGAATGTAGAGAGTGATTAGAATCTATACTATTTTTTTTAAATTAATTACCTTGTTTCGTTTCGTGAGTGTAATAATACTAATTAATTGCTGCTTGACGTCCTTGAAATGTATCAAAATCGGTATAATAGTAAAATTCGTTGACATATCTCAATAAATCGTTGTTTTGATAACATAATTTCTCGTTCGACTTGACAGCTGGCCCAAAATGCGGTTAGGTAATAAGCGCCTCACTTGAGATCCGCGCACACAGATAACAATAGTTCAAGTGATCGTTATCGCTTGTCAACAGGTTTATGTTTTTAGCATTCTTTTTCATATTCGCAAGCAAAAGCAGGAGCAAGAGAAAAAATGCCATTCCTTTGAAATGTTGATCAAGCTCCCGCTAAGTGGAGTGCAGTTGTTGTAATTTTCCAACATTATTGTTATCAAAATGTCATTTGCAGAGGCACACTATCAAGCTAATTAACATTATGGTATACGCCTCACAATCGCTGTGATTTTGCTCCACCCTTTTTTTGCACGCATGTCATCTGTTCATTTATTTTTGGATGATGATTGATTGAATCGAATGCAGCAACATTTTGATCTTGCACTTTTGGTGGAAAATGTGCTAAAACTTTCCGCTATGATGCTCACTGGCAGATAGATAATTATTGGCAGTTGTAGCGCTTTTTTTTCCACGGAGGTGTGACAAACAAGTCAATAAATAGCAATAAATAATCAATAAAACTACGATAAATAGAGTTGGCATTGTTTTAATCGTTTAAATTGGGTAATTTTAACCTTTTTCGTATTATCACAAAATTCTCTTATTTCATAACAGAAAAACAAACAAACAGTCGAGTCAGCTGCTTAGTATCGTTGCAAACGTTTGTGTATTCTTATGAGTTACTCGAATGGAATAGGCCTTGCATTGCTTCTTGAAGTGCGCGTTGACATGCCAAAGCGCATTTGAAGCCACCAGCACGTTCGGGAGGCGCTTCGGCTCTGTAAATTTCGAAGAGAAAAATAAAATTAATGGAATCTATTGCAATTTTCTGGTGTAAAATCCATTTTACCTGACATGGCGTGTGTATCCTTTGCATTCAATCTCAATCATATCGGGCGCAATTGGACCGTCAACGACCATGACTGGCTGTTCATACGAAAATAGGGGACCTTCTTCGATTTTTGGTACAGGTAAGAAATGTGATTGTTGACCGAATTTCACACCGGTCGAGAATTCGCTTTGTTTCTTAATAACCGGTAACGTCTTTTCTTCTTCGCGTAATTTTTCCACATTTTCCGCATAACCTTTGACAATGCTGGACGCATCCTCGTAACTGAACATCAATTCATCGATTAGCGCCTCTTTTTCTTTCAATTTCTTCTTTTTGGCTTCATTTTCAATGGTTTCCCGTTCGATGCGTCGCTGATCATCTTCCTCTTTTTCACGTTCCAATTCCAATTCTAATTCATATTCTTCACGGCCCAAACGCGTTTTATTCTTATTGATTACTTCACGATTTTCCCGCTTGTACTGTTCGATGCGCTTGTTTGTGTTGATGATATCGATGTTGTTGCATAAATTGTAAATAATCGTTTCGATTTCTTCCAAGTAATCATCGTACTCGCGAGTCGTTGCAAAATCTTCTTCCTGAACCAAAGAACAAAAACAATTCGAGATGTTTGATAATAGAATGATAAACAGATGGGCTTAAAATAAGAGAAAATTTCCGTACTTTTTTGTTGTAGTCCCTCAGAATACGTCGTCGAATGTCCACTTCTTTTTCGACCATGGGATTTTCAAACATCTGAACACGGAAATTATTTCGACGCAACGGAACATCGCATTCGGGGCATGATCCAGAACCTAAAATGATGCAACATATAAATTAAAATTAAAATTACTGACTTCAGAAATAGATTCAAGTTGATATCAAACAACTTACCTTTAACAAAGAGTAATTCAACGCAACTTTCGCATAATGAGTGACCGCAAACGTTAACCATCAATTTTAGCGATGGGTTTCGATATTTGGAGGTTTTACATTTTGGGCACACTTGATCATCCATTTTTCTATAATGATATTCTATGTATATTTTTTTTATTAAACTTAAACAATAAACAACGAAACGATTGATTGAATTGTGATTCGCGGCGTTTTGTGTTGACATATGCCGATTCACATCACATTGTATAAATCAGAATGTGAGAGTAGCGACGTTCAATTGTCAAAACTCACGCACACCATCCACTAATGTTTGAATATGGCAACACATGCACTTTGTTGACCTTTTATTCATTGTTTAACATTCAACATTTTCCATACACATTTTTTCAGTGGCTTATTGTTTTAATTTCGTTCTTTTTTGAAACACATAATTCCCCATTTAAAAAATTGTTGTACCAATCATTCATTTCATTAAATGAATTGGGCACAAATCGATTCCGGTACACTTTTATCCTCAAAAGATATAAAAAGTGTTGCCAACTAAGTTGTGTTACCACCACCACACTGACACAAACGCGTTTTGGATTCATCGATACTTCAAGTGTTTGACATTTGTGTCCATTTGAAAATAGTACTTACTTCGTTGCAAATGATTTGAATTGGTAGGTTTTGGTGCATTGTTTGTTTTTAATTTACAAAAATATTATTTGCATTAAAGATACTGGTAAATAGCTATAAATGCAATTTTTTTAATCATTTTTTCACATAGTTGAAACGGAAATACTGAATAATCCTGAGAAGTTGCATTGGTTATAGCTGGAATGAAAGAAAATTTCAAGATGAATGGGTCTGGCCATTGTGAATCAACTGGTAAACGTATATGTCGAAAAAGAACCATAGCATACAAAGTGATCGAGGTTACGGAATCTGGTAAACGTTTATGTCGAAAAGGAACTGTAACATTCAAAACGTATGAGGTTGTAAAACCATCGCTAATGAAATTGAACAATGACTGTCTACGTATTGTATTAGAGCATCTAGATGCGTTTAGTTTGGGTAATATGGCAAACGTTTGCAGGCGAATTCGTCCATTGACCGCAGAGATTTTCCATCGTCATCACAAGGAGATCCGAATTCAGGAGGAAGAAATGTGTTATGATAAAGGTGCTGTTTGGCGTACACTCTTTAAATTCGGACATTTAATTTCAACACTCCATTTTACGGGTACCCAATGCGATAAACATAATCCGAATATTCACAAACAAATCAACCTAAACACAATTATCGAGCATTGCCCAAACTTGCGTGAGTTGCATATTTACGATGCAACCATCGATTGTGAGAAGGCTAAGCCATTGTTCGCACAATTGTCAGTTTTGACCATCAGATTTTGCCAATTTATTAATGGTAGCAAATATAATTTATTGTCAAAATGTTCTAACGTTCAAAAGCTGACATACAGTCCAGATTTTCGGTTGCAAGAAACTAGGTAAGGAAGTAACTGTATTACGGCCATACGATTTCCCAGTATGAAAGAACTAAAAATGCTAAAAATGCGTATTTTGACAACAGTGATTATTTCAGTCGCTTCCTGTGGGGAAATTATCAAATAGAAAAACTTACTGTGCAATACGAAGACCCGCGTGAAATTTCAGAACTTATAAGATTACCGAATTTGAAGTCGTTATCTTTGATAAGAGATCGAGTTTATTTCGTCTCCAATCCGCAGACTTTTTCTCTACACGAACAGCCAAAATTGAGATATTGGGGCGAGAAAGGTTATGCCTCAGATTACTTACAGATATTATTCGAGCTGGTCATAAGAATAAAACAACTTGAGGCTCTGCACTTGGCTTCAATTGGAAAAATTCTAGAATCCAACTTTGTGACACTTGTCAATGAATTACCATTGCTCACGCGCTTGGAGCTAAACTTTCAATATAACAAACTTAGAAAGCCATTCGGTTTAACTAACATTGGTCTGAAAAACATAATTGAGTCGGGAAAGCAACTGGATTATTTGGGTTTATATGGTGTTAGGCGTATAAGAATCGACCAAGAATTCTTTGAAATGTTATTAAAAACAGTTAAAAGTAGCATGAGACAGAAAAAACTTAGAATTTTTATCACAGGGTGTAAAACATCGACCAAATTTGATGTACCTAAAACCATTCAACAAGCATCCAACAAGTACTTGGAAATTCACTACAACAAGTACATGGACATGGACGGAGATGATTTCTGTAAATGCGAACGTTGTGGAGAGACAAATCAAGCAACAAGGAAAAGAAGATTTCCATATGTTTGATTATATACCATTTAAACCATCAATAAAGCAAATGTTCGGAAATTAAGCCGATATTTTGAAAAGAAAGAAGAATGTGTTGGTCTTTATTCATTTGATAATGTTGTAAACTAACCATAAGCCAATTGGGTGGGAAGTACGAATTTACAACGAAAAACATTTATCGGCCATGCATACGCTTATGTGATTGAAATCTTCAACTATCACCACAAGCGTCGTGTCAGTAGAGCTCGTCTTATATTTACATTGGAAATACGTGTTATTGTTGTTGTAGCTTCATCGCCATGGATGTCATGAAATTTCGGGTAGTAAAACCAATACTTTTCCTTAACAAACAAAGTTTGCGGAAAAGTAATATTCTCAAATTTCGACATAAAAATGTCCTAAAATGTTGTAGATATCATTTTGTCTTTGTAAAAGTACATCCATTTTCCATCCATGGTGCATCCATCCATCGAATGAATCCATCCATCCATGGTTCAACACTATCCATCGTCCATCATTATCCATCCATGCATCGACTGCATCCATCCATCCATCCATCCAAAAGAGGTCGCAGTTGGATGGACGGACAAACAAGTGGATGGATGGATGGATGGATGGATAATTGTGTGGACTCATGACCTGTACCCATTGCTACGACGAGTACGACGAAGGCCTTCATAATTTCATAGGAAGTTTCAATTGACCTACTGGCATGTAACTCGAATAAAACCACTTATTATGCGGTGTCACGTGATCCGGCCCGTATCCCATTCCAATGGGACGATTCAAGAAACCATGGGTTACAATCAGAACAAATTACATTAATGTATTAATGTGAAAACTCAACACGCTCAACCACGAAGCCACTTGGACAACTACAAACGTCTGATTAAACTGCGCAAAGAAGCCTCCCTCGGAAATGCTACATATGAATCTATTCGGAGAAATTTATACATACAAACGGTAAAAGGCAGATCATAAGCAAAATACGCACAAAAAATACATGGTAAATGTACTAATGAATCGTTTTTATTCGACAGTCAAAGCGGTTCAGTCAAACCGATTGTGGTGGCTTTTGAACATTGGCAAAACATGGGAGACAATTAATTTATCAGCGAAATATAATTTACCAGACACCAATATACAGAAGGATAACGTTCCTTTTATCGTCATTGAAAAGATCGCAGAAAAACGGCCATTATTGGTTAGGCCACTTACAAAATGTATCTTAGATTAATTTATGGTTTACTTCAAAGATTGTTCAAAATATTCTTTCTTGGTCATCTTTTTCACTCACACACACTCAAACTATTTTTTTAATTACATGGTTTTGATTTTGTGCTCTTAAGCCGTTGTACGATTCATGGGTATCCGGACAAAATTCCCGAAAAAAAATTCCCGATCCACAAAATTCCCAAAAAAAAATCCCGAAGACAAAATTCCCAAAACGAAATGCCCGAAAAAAAATTCCAAAAAAAAATTCCCGAAACAAAATTCCCGAAACAAAATTCCCAAAAAAAAATTCCCGAAGACTAAATTCCCAAAATAAAATTCCCGTAGACCAACAAATGATGGCGGCCGGGGCATAAACAACTGGATGGAAACTTTTTCACTCTTGTGTTGACGAATTTGACATTAATGTGTGAGTGTACAGGTGCTAGCACCAGTTGGCGACAGCGATGCGAAGCCGTACCGTTGTTTATGCCCCGGCGCCATCATTTGTTGGTCTTCGGGAATTTTGTCTTCGGGAATTTTATTTTGGGAATTTTATCTGGGGAATTTTGTCTTCGGGAATTTTTTTTTTGGGGAATTTCGTTTCGGGAATTTTGTCTTCGGGAATTTTTTTCGAACGTATGTACAAATACCGTCGGAACCCCAATTTCCGTGAGATCGAGAATCGAACTCACTACCGACGGCGCTCCGGTGTGCGCCTGTAACCACTGTGCTGTGGTGACGGTGAAATCTAATCGTCTTTTTTTAAAATCTTACTTCAACTTTCATTAGTTCGTCTTTTATTTTCATTTCCATTTCCGTCTCTGCGATGGTTGAACCCGAAGAAGATGAAATTTGTCTGCTGAAACTTCGATTCACTTCTACTTCTAGCTCTGCGTCAACAACCAAATCCACAGGAGTAATTGTGTTGTTTGGAACAGCATTCATGTCATTGGTAGATTTGCGTTTGGTTTTTGGCCGTTAAGCCGTTGTACGATTCGTGAGTTGTAAGAACGTATGTACAAACACCGTCAGAACCCCAATTTCCGTGAGATCGAAAATCGAACTCACTACCGCCGGCGCTTCTGTGCGCGCGTTTAGCCACGGTGCTGTACAGATGGGCGGACTATCTGATTAAGATTAATTAATCTTTATCAAACACCCAAAATTCGCGATGATTAATACGACCACTTAATCACTTAATCGCTATTAATCATGATTAAGTGATTGTGCAATTGATTAATTAATCATCGATGATGATTAAGTTGTTGTCTTAATCACGATGTCGCCGTGATTAACTGTGACAACTTAATCATGATTAAGTAAATTCTTAATCATGATATAGATGTGATTAACGAAATGATTGTGTAGATTTAATTGTTCATTAGACGCCATAAATGCAGAAATGTTGAAAAAGATTCCCATTTTCCATTCTTTCAACGTTTACTTTAAGTTTACGCGATGAATTACCACTCAAAAGCACTTCAAAGATGGTGCGCTCCCCATAAACGTATGCGGTTGAATTAGTCAAAATGAATTTGTACTTTAAACTCCCCTCGTTAGCGTCGCCCGGTTCAAATGCATTGGTTTTCATTTAACAAAAGTTCTTGATAGCAAAACGCGATGGATGCTTAATCAAAGTGACCAATGCGAATAGGATCTGTGTGGTGTGTTCCACATTTCTAGCGGCTACAAGTAAAATTAATTCACCATCTTTGTTTGGATGCATGTCCAGTGTGAACATTTCGACTTCATTGATATCGCGCGATGGCCATGCTTGAAGATGGAATGCCTGCTTGATTTTCTGGATAATTTGCTGATCTTCAAACAGGAATGTCTCATTGAAATTCAATTCGACACACCAACGCTGTATAAACTTATCCGATAGCACTGATATATATGTACCAACCGGATGATTCTGAAATTTTCGCGCATATTTTGATGAACTTCTGAAATGCATACAGGGCTGGAATTCTAAGTCATTCCACCAAAATCATTCGGAATTATTTTTTTTCGTACATAAGACCATATTGGAGTGAAAGAGAGAGATTCCACTATTTTTCAGCGTTCCACCGGAATTATTTCTCACACATTCCACTCTTCCTTGAGTTATCGGAATAATTCCGGTGGAATGCTGAATAATAGTGGAATCTCTCTCTTTCACTCCAATATGGCTTATGTACGAAAAAAAATAATTCCGAACGATTTTGGTGGAATGACTTAGAATTCCACCCCAGAAAACGATGAGCTCTAAATTACAGAATAGAGAAAAGTCAATAAATGGTTAAATTTTCGCGTAAGCTGTCATCGCCTGGCCCCCGCATTTTCCGTTGTCCGGATACTGGCCATTATTTTGTTGCAACTGAAGCAATACTAAATTGCATGTTGTCGTAACTAGAACATAGGCCACCGATGAAAGAGTGATGAGCTCAATGAATTCGTGTCCTTCGATTATACTCTCTTCTTGGTATGGTTAAAATACAATAGATGACCAAAATTGAATATTGCCGGTTGGTCCAATCAATAAACATGAAATCATTTTTTGTTCATCTTCTTTATTGAAAACGGTGACCAGCGATGTGTTGTGGGCGGCGGCGTGCAAAGGAAATTTCCTGCCCGAAGCAAATTGCCGACCCAAAATCAAAATGCCGCCCCAACATCAAAATTTGAAGAGCAAAAAAATGGTCATCACTTTTAAAAATCAATTCTATCTAGTGTAAGCCCCAATTTTGCGAAGAAGCCGCCCAAAGTCCAAATTTGAAGAACAAAAAAAATGTCATCATTTTTAAAACTTCTATCTAGACATTTTCGGTCGATACTGGGCTCTGATGGTGTGCACAAATTCAGAGACCGCCTGAAATGGCATGCACAAATTACGCACAAAATATTGGAACCGGTGTGGGCCATGTAAAAGCAATATTTTTCATAGTTGACTTATATTCACCACACCCATATTTTGCGAAAATCTGGTCTGGCATTATTTGACCACATAACGCAAATCCGAAGGCATATTCATTATGCACAAATTATGCACAAAATAATTGCATATTCGAACATGCGAAAAAATGCTGCCCCGTCGAGTGGTGAAAATGGCATTTACAGCAAATTCACCACAGAAATTAGAATCAAAATTTGCACATTTTTCGACTTTTTTGGGCCTTGCAAATGCATGCACAAATTTTTAAATGCTATGCTACAGGTGGGCGTTTTGCGATTACTTAATCACTTGCACAATCATTTTTCGGATGATTAAGATGGCACTTAATCACTTAATCGCTATTAATCATGATTAAGTGATTGTGCAATTGATTAATTAATCATCGATGATGATTAAGTTGTTGTCTTAATCACGATGTCACCGTGATTAACTGTGACAACTTAATCATGATTAAGTAAATAGTCATCATGATTAAGATGTGATTAACGAAATGATTGTGTAGATTTAATTAATCATTAGACGCCATAAATGCAGAAATGTTGAAAATGATTCCCATTTTCCACAATCATTTCGTTAATCACATCTTAATCATGATTAAGAATTTACTTAATCATGATTAACTATTTACTTAATAATGATTAAGTTGTCACAGTTAATCACGGTGACATCGTGATTAAGACAACAACTTAATCATCATCGATGATTAATTAATCAATTGCACAATCACTTAATCATGATTAATAGCGATTAAGTGATTAAGTGGTCGTATTAATCATCGCGAATTTTAGGTGTTTGATAAAGATTAATTAATCTTAATCAAATAGTCCGCCCATCTGTATACTATGCACAAATTATTAACGTAAACAGGCCACCGGTTTTCAGACCTTGACCGGCTGGGGAGGGGGAGCCTTTAAAAAAAGTCAGATTCATAATGAATTTGTTTGCGGCGATGGTAGCGATTCAAGCGGCATATGAACGCTACTAAAGCGGCCTTTTAAATAGTTCATATTGCGAACGTATTTATTATTTTATTGATTTTATAGTCTACTTTGATAAGCTGACTTCAGAATACAGTTGTATAAAATCAGTTTTCTTTACATAATTGTAGTTGTAATTGGAATTTTAATTTTACTTTTACTTTAATTTAATTTTTCCAATTTTTTTAGTATTAAATTTAGGTTTAGGAAGTTCAATAATGAAACAGTAGCTAAATGAATAAATAAATAAACAAATAGATAATTAGAAAGATCACAAATTGAGTTAAATTAATCGAATCGAATAAATAAATTTAGTACGTTAAGTTGCATTAAACAACTTTAGTCAGCTCAGGATTATTTTTTTTTACTTTAAATAAATAAATAGTTAAATGATGGTATCCCTAGGATTGAATTTGCACTTGATCAGCTTAAAGCAGTTCGGTATCACAGTAGAGATTATTGGCACATGTTTCGCAAGAATTTCCTTCAATTTGGAGTCCAATTGTATGGTAACAACGGTCCTCCTCGTCTAATGTCTTCCCAGTCACTTCAATGTTGTGGTTAGTCAGCTGGCAAAGAAATTCAGACGAAAAATTCCCATAAATTGTTATGTTGGGTTGAATGAATTTCACAAATTGCTTCTGTGTAATTTCGATTGCATCGATGTATTTTTGACTGAATGGAGACCCTACTTGAGAAGCAAATTCGAGATGGGATCACACAAGAGCGTAGAAGAGCATTATTGGCCGACTGTGCGACCACCTGATCCGACTGAACGTCCGAAACACTGTACCGGCTGTAAATATAGGTTATGTTTAATACACATCCAAATGCAAATGAAAAAAAAATGGCTGGAATTGAATTTACGTGGAAAGCCCGGGTTCATTTAGTTCACCATCCAATGTTTTATTCTTATTGATCACTTCACGATTTTCCCGCTTGTACTGTTCGATGCGCTTGTTTGTGTTGATGATATCGATGTTGTTGCATAAATTGTAAGTAATCGTCGTACTCGCGAGTCGTTGCAAAATCTTCTTCCTGATCCGAAGAATAAAAACAATTCGAGATGTTCGATAAGAGATGTTGTATAATAAACAGATGGTCTTAAAATATGAGAAAATTTCCGTACTTTTTTGTTGTAGTCCGTTAGAATGCGTCGTCGAATGTCCACTTCTTTTTCGACCATGGGATTTTTCAAACATCTGAACACGGAAATTATTTCGACGCAACGGAACATCGCATTCGGAACATGATCCAGAACCTAAAATGATACATCATATAAATAAATAAAATATAAATATATAAATTCAATTAAAATTACCGAATTCGAAAATTGATTCAAGTTGATATCAAACAACTTACCTTCAACAAAGAGTAATTCAACGCAACTTTCGCATAATGAGTGACCGCAAACTTTAACCATCAATTTTAGCGATGGGTCTCGATATTTGGAGGTTTTACATTTTGGGCACACTTGATCATCCATTTTACTATAATGATATTCTATGTATGTTTTTTTTATTAAACTTAAACAATAAACAACGAAACGATTGATTGAATTGTGATTCGCGGCGTTTTGTGTTGACATATGCCGATTCACATCACATTGTATAAATCAGAATGTGAGAGTAGCGACGTTCAATTGTCAAAACTCACGCACACCATCCACTTATGTTTGAATATGGCAACACATGCAATTTGTTGACCTTTTATTCGTTGGTTAACATTCAACATTTTCCATGCACATTTTTTCAGTGTCTTATTATTTTCATTTTGTTCTTTTTTGAAACACATAGTTTCCCATTCGAATTTTTTTTACATGAATCGTTCATCTCATTGAATGAATTGAGCACGAATTGATTCCGGTGCACTTTTATCCTCGAACAAAACAAAGAGTGTTGCCAACTAAGTTGTGTGACCACTACCACATTGACAGCGCAGTTGTGATACACACAATCGTAGATGCACTGTATGTGTATGGATTAAGCAGTGGCTGTTCAGTTTTGTCATTACATTTATAAACATCCAGTCGCCATTTTCAAGCGTTACTAGTGGTTTCGAAGCACAAAAGCAATTGCGAGCCAGTCAATTTGGGCAATCAAAGTATACTTAACCATTTTTTACAGCCGGTTTGCAATCCATTGGAATAGTAGTACATTTCCCGAGAAGATTGTGTCAGTTGTGAATTGACGACATTCAATCGAAACGCAAGTAAATTCCAATTAAACTAGCAAAAAAAAGTTTTATTGGTAGCCGTTTGTAGTGTGTTTTGTGAGTGTGTGTATTAGTGTGCGTGTTTCGACGTATTTTCATATCGAGATAGAGAACGAGCAATCACGATGGGTGATTACAATCAAGATGCAATTGCACAGTTAGAAATGCAAAATCCAAACGCATTGCGTCGACCATTCGATCCAACCGCTCACGATTTAGAGCCAACATTTCGATTGACCCGGTATGCTGACCTGAAAGGACGTGGCTGCAAAGTGCCGCAAGATGTGCTCGGTAAGCTTGTGTCATCACTGCAACAGGACTATTCACAGCCGGACGATGAACATGCTCAATTCATGAATATGGCCATGCCTCGCATCGGCATCGGTCTCGACTGTTCGGTTACACCGATTCGTCATGGTGGCCTGTGTCTGGTGCAAACAACCGATTTCTTCTATCCAATCGTTGACGATCCATACATGATGGGAAAAATTGCGTGTGCCAATGTTCTCAGTGATTTATATGCCATGGGTGTCATGGATTGTGATAATATGATGATGCTGTTGGCTGTCAGCACGAAAATGACCGAGAAAGAGCGCGACGTTGTTATTCCATTAATTATGCGCGGTTTCAAGGTATGCTTTGATCATATTCCAAATAACTGTGTGTGTGTGTTTTTGGTTTTTTTTTCTTCATTCATTAATGGAATTTCCCATTGGTTTCACTTGTAGGATTCGGCTTTAGAGGCTGGCACATCAGTGACTGGTGGCCAAAGTGTTGTGAACCCATGGTGTACAATTGGCGGTGTTGCTTCGTCGATTTGTCAGCCAAACGACTATATTGTACCGGACAATGCGGTCGTTGGTGATGTACTCGTATTGACAAAACCATTGGGTACTCAAGTGGCCGTGAACGCTCATCAATGGTTGGATCAACCGGAACGCTGGAATCGCATAAAATTGGTTGTGTCAGAGGAAGATGTTCGAAAGGCATATCATCGTGCAATGGATTCGATGGCCCGTTTGAACCGCACCGCTGCTCGTTTGATGCACAAATACAATGCGCACGGTTCCACTGACATCACCGGTTTCGGTTTGCTCGGCCATGCACAAACATTGGCATCGCATCAAAAGAACGAGGTATCATTTGTCATCCACAATTTGCCGGTCATCGCTAAAATGGCTGCCGTTGCCAAAGCGTGCGGAAACATGTTCCAATTGCTTCAAGGACATTCAGCTGAAACGTCTGGCGGTTTATTGATTTGCCTACCACGTGAACAAGCTGGTATGTATTCTCTATTATTTTCATTTGAAATTCCTTGCCCGTTCAACATTCCATCATGATACAGACGGAGTTAATTCATATGGTTTCGTTTCTATTTTCAGCTGCCTACTGTAAGGATATAGAAAAACAAGAAGGCTACCAAGCCTGGATTATTGGCATCGTTGAAAAAGGTAATCGCACCGCCCGAATCATCGACAAACCACGAGTCATCGAAGTACCAGCTAAAGAATAAATTTTATGAGGAGAAAAACATACAAAAAAAAAAAAACCTTTTTGCATGAAAATCAATTTATATTTGGAAAACACAAATGAAGTACTTCTAGAAAAACAAAACAAAAAATAAACACTCTGCAGAAGAAAAAAAGATAAGCGACCAAAATATGATAGTACATTTACCTACTTTATATCTCCAAATTCAGATTACCAATGAAATGTAACAACAGAGAAAAATGTAAAATTCTTGATACATCAAACATATTCGGCTAGTTTCTCAAATAAAAAAAAAGAAGAAAAACCAGATGAAAAAAGACAAATTCATAAAAATTACAAAGCCATTATTTCTCTCAATTTGGCATTTCAACACAAACAACAACAAAAAAAATCAGAGGGTACTTTCGACGCTAATCAAAAAGCAAAACAATTCATGTTTCCAGTTCTACGAAAACAATGTTTATTTTCTAATTAAATTTAAGTGTAAATTTTACGATTAAAAAAAACTGAATTTATTTTGAACCGATGTACAACTATTCATTTGAAAAGCATTTGTAGTTGACCCCCCAGCAAGATAAGGCACACAAATATTTGTCTACGTTTTTTTAGGTTATGTCACTCATTCTTTGTTTTGATGGTAATCTTTGATATTTGTTTGATTTTCATGAATAAAAATAAATTTCACAATGTATGGTAAGTGATTCTAATTGCTCCGAATAGATAGTTTATAAGTTTTAAAATGGACAAAAAAAAGTTAGCAGAAAAATACGGTATGAACTGACGAAGAAAATCTGTTTCTGACGAACGTTCATTGGTTCAAATATGGTCGCCGTCAAAAAAAGGAAAAAAATTCATTTTTTACAAACGAAATTGTCTAATTTATTGAATTCACTTAAAATTATTGGTAAAAATTTATGCAAAAAGAAATAGTGTAACTTTTCTACAGTTCAAAGTCGTCTCGCTGCGAACAAAAACAAAAAACGAAAAGAATTAGTGTCGGTTGAGCAGTATGATGAATGTGAATACTTACCATATTATTGTATTCCATGACATGTCTACGAATCTTCGAGCTATCGACCCATGTGACGAAATCTTCTAAGGTGCGTGACACTAAAAATGCTGGATCCTTTACAACTTCCGTACCAACTCGAATATGGCCTTGTTCAATTAAATCGGTGGCATTTTTTATGATTTCTGACATGTTATCTGCAAACCGATGGGCAAACAAAATATTATAAGAAACCATTGCCTACTGAGAAAAATCGGTTTCGAATAGACTTACTTCTGACCATAACCACGGGCAATCGTCTGCGACAGAAACTGCTGGCCGAAATATTGACTGCATTGTTTAGGTCCCATTTGGTTGGTATCAATCCAAGAACGTACAATTTTTCCAGCAGAGCTGCACTCATTTCGGTACGGAATGGATCTTTTGCATCAATTTCACTGATCTTCTTGGCCAATTCTCGAATCGTTCGCGACAATTTGTTGTACCTTTTTCAAAAAAGAAATCAAAACAAATCCAAATTTAATACGATCTCCAGTTGGCCAGAACCACATGCTGCTACATTTACTTTGTGTAATCTTCACGTTTGCGAATATGAAATTTTCGCATCACTTTTGCCTCGTGTAAATTGTTGTCGACGGGCCAATTCATAAAATCGACCTTCTTCAACAATTTTTGCTCATGATATTGCAATTTTCGAACCATTTTCACCGAAAACTATCTCAACTTCAATTCAATTCAATTACAAAAGACAAGCGAACCGAAAAATTCCGAAAGACTAAAACAATGCGTGCTACTCGTGTGTTGACACAATGTTGACAGTAAACGAAGCGTGCTGTCTGAATTCGAAGAAATAATCACAGCGTCGGCATCTTGTGGATAGCTTTGATACTAAACTGTGTGTACTTAAACGCAAGTACTTGCATGTCTTACTCGTTTTTAAGTTGTGATAACAAACAATTTATTACATTTGGCCCACATTTGTTTGAGATAAAATTCGATGTTTTTGAATTAAATGAGAAATAATCGTTGAATCGTAGTACGAAATTCGATTGAACGGAAACTCTTGGCCAATGCGATGCATTGAGTTGATCGTCACTTCTTTCCTGTGCAGTGGTGTGATTGCTTTTGCTTCACCGAAACCATACCAAGTACATGCACAAGTGTACTGTTGCCGTTGTTGCTGTATATTGGATGGAGATGCTTGTTTCTCTGTCGTCGGTTGTGTGTTTCGTTTTGTTTGTGTCGGCCCGGTGTACGGTGTGATTGAAAACAGTCGGTGCGTGTTATTCAGTATTTACGTGTCGACCAGTTCGGTTGTGGAACGTTTTTAGTGTGTGTATAGTATTTCGTTTCTCATCTGTTTACCGATTTTCTAGTAGCGCGCTATCGTGTGTTCTTCGCGATTTATTTGTTCCGTTCTGTTGGTCGGTTTTATATTATTATTTATTTGGTTGGGATTTTTTTTTTATATTTTGCTTCCGTTTCATTTTGATTCGTTTCATAGCTCGTTTAGCCAGTCGAACGCAATGCAATTTGAATTTGAAACAAAAGACAGGAATGAACAGGTGCCGTAGACCAAATTCAAATGTGAATAACTGTCGAAAAAAAAATTTCATTATAAAAAAAAATATGTATATGATTTGATTGAATCAAAACGCCGTCGACAATCAAATTGTGGTGAATCCAATGAAAAATGAATGCAGTCGAACTGAAATCGAAAGAAAAAAAATAGAAATCATAGAAGAAAATAAAAGAGAGAAAAAAATCGCAAGAACTGTGTGTATGCGGTGAATTGTGACAGCGACGTATCGCATCAAATTCAATCTACCGGTTTGCCAATCGGCGATTATGTTTATTTGATTCGTTTGATTATAGTTTCGTTTACGACAACTGATTCTAATATTGAAATAATAGAAGGCAATAATAACAACAACAGCCAAAGCCGACGGAGAAAGATATAAAAAAGAGATAGAACAAAATAGAAACCGATCAACTTTGTTGGTGTTTTTGTGAGTGTGAATAGAATTCTTGAGAGGAAAAAAAAACGAAGATAGACAAGATTAGATTCAATTATTACAATTTTTAATTAGATGTGAGTCGGCTTGATTCAAATCAATCGTAAGCCAGTTGACATTGATTGTTTATAACGTGTTCGTTCTGACGAAAGGAAAATAAAGTGAGAAAATTAAAGTATGTTGACACCATCGGCAAATCAAAACAATTAATTGTTCTTTGAACTAACGTGAAATTGCAAATCAACGCAAATACCAGCGCCAAATTGAAAGCAGAACATTCTCTCAGTACAACGAGCCAAAGTGAGCGAGAAAAGAAGAAAAAAAATGGAAACAAATTTGCAAAGCAGTGAGGTGCGCATACCGAAAACACCGCAATCAACGGGCTCGGTGTGTCCACAGTTTAAGAGTACATTTGCACGATCATTGTCCTTCAATACAAACACGCCGCCAAATAAACCGTTAGATTTTGAAATCAGTTTTCGCATCGCTCAAAATGTGGACCATTCACAAACGAATTTGTCAACCACCGCCGCCACGGTGCCACAGTCGCACAAAGTCGTTGACGAAATTGACGAAGATTTCGAGGAATTTATGCGAAACTCCCCATTGAAGCAATCACTGCAAAATTTATCGGGCAAATCAACAACACCAACGACGCCGCCAACGCGCAAAAATGCCATTGCATCGCGTGTATTCAACACAACCTGTTCCGGACGACATCGATATCAGGTACGACATTTTAATGATCAGGCAAACCGGAAGTATTTACGAAAATATAAAATATGTTTTTGCATTTTCTGGCCGATCGGCCCGAAATTAAATATCTTCAATCACTTTCGCCACATTTTTGATTTTCTTTGTCAATAATTTCATGATATTTGTCATTAATAATTGCAAACAAACAAAATCAGTTTAGTTTTTCTCCGGACTCTCTTTCTCTTTCGTTGGCAAATTGATTTATGTTAGAAAATGTTGATATCAAAATGATTTTTCAATTGCCAATTGGCGTGAAGGGGAAAAATTGGAAAACTTGTAGATTTTCCATGCGGTTCTATCAGTCACGAATTAAATTGGTTTTGTTTCTTCTTTGTTGTTGTTTTTTTCCTGATTTAGGACACGCAAGGGAATAAATCATGTTCACCCGAAATTGAATTGCTTCGTTTGCGAAAGGTAAGTCAATCAAAATCATCATTATGGTGTGCTCACTGCACACAAAACATTGTAAGATTGTGTTCACTGTACTCTGCAAAACAATATTCGCCGCGACAGAAAAAGCAGGTGGAAAGAAAACGTCAATTCTTTCGACGCCACACAAAATCATGTTTAGAAATTATACTTTGTTTTATTTGTTCCGGCTCTGTCAACGAACTTTGACAGTAATTGATGAGAATGCAACCTGAGCTGTTTATGCTCGTTTATGACCGTTTGCAAATATCGATTTAAAACAAAAAGAAAAAATGCATTAACAAAATGAAAAGAAGAGAGAAAAAAAAACAATGGAAAACCAACGAGATATATGCAGAAAATAAACGGCGGCGATTTCGCGAAAGCAATGGAACGGTCGGTTGCATCATTAGGAGAGTGCGCGCACGGTGGCGGCAGAAACAGCGGCCGTCGTTGTCTACACACACATATGCCAATGCAAAGGTCGTGCACTTTCTTCTAATCACGCTGTCTACACGTAAATCGATGAATTATCATGAGTTGAGGTGAAATTTGATCGAACTCTTCGGGTACCGTTGTGTTTTAGTGTTTGGTAAAGGCTATTTAATCGAGAATTATTACCATTGCCATAGCATGGCATTGTAAAAATGTGCACTTTTTCCGTCTCTATCTCGTGCGAATCGGATGGTAGCGGCAGTGGCGACGATGGCGGCCGCAATTCATCAATAGTATTTGTTATGGTCGAATGGGGAACCGAACTAAACTGTGTGTATGTGTGTGTGTGTGAGTGTGTGTGTCGATGCTTTCTCATGTGATTTGTTTTGATTGAATCAAGAGCGCAATGAATAAAGCGATAACGTGAAAATGCTACGAAATTGCATATTTGAAAGAAAAAAAAATGCTCAGCGGCAGAACTCCCGAGAAAAACAACAACAATCGCAATACAAAATACATATCCATCGATTGGTGATTCACTTTGTTCATTTCGTCGAAGGTTCATTTTCGACCTGATCCTATAAAAGCATTCGCCTCATTCACAACGCAAGAAAATTCGCTTCTTTGAAATTCACATCGAAATGGTTGTGTGTTTATTTTCATTCCCTATATGTTTTTTCTCTCTTCCATCGGTTTTTTCTTCTCCAGCGAAATGGCAATTGAAAAGATTTGTTTATCACAATAAAACACCAAATACATGCATTGAGCGCTGACTTGTTCAATGGCTCATTTGTGCACTCAACAGATTTGAAGTGTATATTCGTTATTACGGCTCCTGCCGCCGCTGTTAAAGTTATTTATTTGACCATTATCGAAAACTATGTAGCCGCAGCAGCAACAACATTCAGCACAATCTAAACGGCCCCAAAGCACAGAGATTATTAGAAAAAATTACGATTTTTTTGCTTTCTTTTTCTACGAATCGTTCAAATATTCCATTTGAATTGTGTGATTTGTAAACAACTATAGAATTTTGGGCTGTGCTATTTAAACCATTATTTTTGCTTCCTTATTATCTCTATCTTGTTGGCATGAACTTTGTGTGTTTTCACATTTTGCGAATAAAAATTATGAATTATTTGTGGCTAAATGCATATTAACGGGCTGTTATTTCATGATCCAATTCCCTCTGTTGCTTGCATGGAACGTAATTGAGTGTTTGGCGGGCGACGCAATGCGAGCAGGCCAGCGCAATCGAACCAAATGAATGTGTGTGTATGTGTTGATTGTATCTATTCGCATCTGGATAGTAATTGCGCGAATCTAAAATTAGTTTATAGATTTTCAGCAAGCAATAAATAAGTTTTGCATTTGCTATGAATTAATGATGACAGGTCTTCTCTTTCGTTCATGTATTCCATTGCATATCGCCTCGAAATACGAAAATGGCAAATATTGGCTTGTTGTTGGGTTGTTCGTTTTTTGGTAGGCGATGGAAAATTGTAAAGAGCAAATATGCGATACGGATAAACAGCGTGGCCATTGCGAAATACTTAGTTCTTATTTTACGTGGTTTTTTTTATATCTACGTCAAATGGATGATATTATTTATGGTAGTGAAAAATAACGATCGCAGCAGACACATACGTTTGCCGTTGTTGCGTTTTCGTCGCTCCTTAACAAACGATTTATAATCCGTTCTGTCGTATGTATGTTCGGGTATGATTTTGTTGCACATAGTTTGATTCTTCGAATTGTGAAAAATGAAAATTGGTTCGGTGCCTAGGCAAATATTGTGGGTGGCTTATGATTGCTATCAAATGGATATCAACAAATACGATGGATATGATGATCACTTTACAAGCGTGTTCATGTTTCATCATCGTTAAAGAGATTTATGTAAAAAACGATTGAAGAAAATTGGCAGAAATATCGCGTATCTCGATTAACATATTGCAATGCACATTTCTGCCCCTCTTGTGGTGAGAAATTCGTGCTTGCTTTCGGCTTCTACGCGCCATCATAAATAGTGCTAAAATTGTTGGCAAAATGAACAGGGAAAAAATGGGAAGATATGTATACATTGAAAGTGTCAAGATGATTAGTTTGACGCAGTTGCCACAATAAAACAATATATACATGACAAACAAATGTAACAAAAGGATGGCCATCATCATTGAAATTATACAAATGAGCTAAAAATTCCATTTTGTTTGAGGTAAAAAGCAAAACGACCAAAAAAATAATTATTCAGCACTCAATTTTTTCCCACGAATTAATTAAGCCCATTGATTTTATCTGATATATCATAAGCGAAGAAAATGGCTCATAAACTATTAAACCAAAACGACGCATCACCAAACCATTTCAAAATGTGTTCTGGCTCAAAACAGAAAAAAAAATTGCTTTGCATTGTTCGCCCAGTTTTTTCCCTTATTTTATGTAACTGACGGCAGAAAAATTCAAAATTAGTCTCTGTTTGCATGAAATCGGTTCACCGAATAATTACTCATCTTTTTATCAGTCAGTTTGATCTCGTGCATTTTTCGATCGTTTTTTTAGTAGACGAAAAAGAAAAACGAAGAAGAAGAAGAAGAAAATGGAGCTCATTGCATAATTTATGGAAACGATTGTTCACTGTCATGCTTAGGCGAATTACAATTTCTTCGCGGAAATGAGGAAATATTCAAATTCAATTCTTGTGGGCCTTCTTTTTCTCTTTCTCTTTCTCTGAATGCGTTCATTTTGAATATGCAAACTGAAAATGGAGTGGTCAAAGTAATTTTTAGATGTTTTCAAAATAGTTCAACTCGTTAATTTTATTTTATTTTCTGATGCGAACTAATAAACGACGCAATTTCGATCAAAGGAACGAAAACGTATTGAGAATTGTACACACAAACCATTTACCACTAATGGCAACGATTGAAACGATTCCCTGGTAAAGCCAACATGCCTATTTTCAAATGGATTCTCTCGAAGAGCTCTCGAATGTTGCGATCGTGTTTTTTTTTATGTTCCTTTCCGTCAATTTATTCCAGCATATTTTATTACATTTTATGTGTGTGTGTTCGCTTCTTTTGAATCGGTGGCATTTTGCCAAACTGGCTGCGCAGTATGTCAACAAATCGCGGCTAAATGTTAACTTTCGCACAATGAACAACAAGATGCGCGCGAGCGCACGCTCATTCGAGAGCAGAAGAAGAAACAATGATCGATCCGAAAATTTAAATTAAAATTTTTAATTTGATTTTTCAATTCCTCATCGTCCCCGTGTGCACAATATTCAATTCGAATTTGCTGATTTCGAATTCTAGTGTTAATGCTTTTTCATGCCGTTTTATATGCCATTAAATCATTTGGTCGGAGTCTATTTTGCAGTTACATCATTTCGGTTCGGTCCGATCCGTTGTTCGAACAAATGTGCTTTCGATGAATGTGTTTGTTGTAGTGCAAGCACCACACAGTATGTGTCTGATGTAAACAATGCGTTTTCAGCTGAGCGTCATGTACTTTTATTTCGCTCGTTCTTCTGTTGCGCTCGCGCTCGCTCGCAATGTGTGCACTCGGTGTGTGCACCTGTCAGGGCCAGAAGTGTTTGTTACTTGCTCGGGTATCGATTGCAATCGAAATCATGTTTCTACGAGCACGAACGAAGTCGTGTCATTTCAGAGAAACCGAAAAAAAAACACAAAAACTGTAGCAAAACAACATCAAATCCATTTGATATTTTCCATTTCCATTGAAGACAGGCAGAGAGAGAGAAAAAAAACAGCTAACATCCAAAATCTAATGAAGTTTTATATATTTTTTTTCCGCTTTCATTTTCATTATTGCTTTGTTTCAATTTTTACCGTTGACTTTTACATCTCTCGAAATGATTGAGCCACCGAACAATCTGTTACCGTTCTACAATCGATTTATGTGTTATAATTCGATTTTTTTTTGCTACCTTCACACACAAACTCGCTGAAACTCGGCATAATCGAAACAATGTTCGATATTGTGTTCTTGAAATTGAAAAAAAAAAATCATCAACTTTCATTTTTCTTTTTTCGTTGTTAAGCCTTCACCGCGTCTTGATTGCTACATATTGAAGCAACTACACACTAAATAGTAATTTCGTTTTTCTGTTTACTTTTGGATTTTGCTGAAAAAAGAGCATTTTTTTTTTCGTTCGTAGACATTTCAATTTTGTTAAGCGAGAGCACAACGTCCGCGCGCATACAAAGACAAACAAACCGGTGGCGAATAATATGCGCAAACTCTTGCCTCGATGGTGTGGTGATTGGAAAACACTGCACACTTTAACAAAAGCAACGTCGAATGAACGAAAGAAAGACAAAAAAATGAAGGAAATAATTCCGTTGTTTATGGTCGAATTTCACTTTGTGTGAATCTAACTCTAGCACATATTCTCAACTTTCGATGTTCCACCATTTTTCTGCCTATTGTCAACGCGCAATGCTCGTTATTTCCAAGAAAATTGAACTTGTTTTCTAATGTCGGCCTCTCGTGTGTCACAACACACAATGCAAAAGACAATGCATGAAGATTCTTCAAATATTTGG